CTCCTCAATGATTCAAACAGAAATAAAGTAAAACGGGTCGCGAAGATGGGGTCCAGAAAGATTGCTGATACTCTAGATCCGGAAGATAACGAATCTAAAGCTACCACCACCAACACTTGGGCCAGGAAGATTACTGATACTCCAGATCCGGTAGATAACGAATCTGAAGCTCCCTTTCCGTTAATTAAATTAGAACGAAATTACTTTCTCCTTTGTGGCGTCGTTTAATGTTGGGTTTAACGTATTCACCTCCCGCAGAAATCTTCTAGACCATGCACCATCAAGGCCACACCAATCTCCTGAAAATGGTGGTCCATCGATGACGACGGCACGGTTTAGTCTCAAAAAATCCAAATATGACCAGTGGTCGGAATTAAGGTAAGGTTTTTAAAATAGGTTATGAGAGCTATCAAAAGAAATATAATTAGTATTTTAGTCTTTTTTACTGCATCTTGAGTCAGTATTTTCCTGCACGACCAGGGTACATTTCATGTGGTAATTGTTCGTTTGAGATTGAAGACATGGATGGTCAAAAACTATAAAGGAAATAGCGCGTCGGCTTATGCGTATATTCGCGAGCATACGTGATAAAAAGATTATCATTACACAAGACACTATCTTGTGTCTTAGTGTAGTACAATCACGGGGTATTTCGGAATATGCGTACGTAATTGCGTAGGAAAAAGTCTTTCTATCACACATGCTTTTGCGATAAAAACATGCGAAAACGAAACCTGAAAAGCCTACAAGAGGAAAGAGCACGACATTCTCTATTAGCTTTCATATCAAAACCCCCAAGTTATGGGAGTTGAGGTTTAGAGATCGTCATTGCATTAACCAGCTCCGTCTTGCAGGAGCGATCTCGAACATAAAACTTGCAAAATTTATTGGGGATCTCAAAGAACAAAAGATACGAAGTTTCTCGTCATATAAAATCTTGGAAGAATTAAAAGACGTACTCCGCAAATATAAGGTCAATGGGGAGGATATAAAGCGATTCACTCCGGGTATGTAATATCTTGATCGGTTATTTTTTCTTGGCATTTTTTTGAGACATTATGTTTCGCAACTTTTTATCTTTTTCTTGGCAAAAACCATTCCCCAAGGAAACGATCAAAATTCCAGATACGTAATACGTAATTTGTTTTTTCCAATGTACAGTATTCGAGGATATTGATGATAATGACAAAGCCCTCGAACAATGCATGAACGAAATAATACTGAGACTTTCAAATCTGGAAATGATGTTGATTAACGCCAACGAAGCCACTATGTTGTGTATTTAGTACGTCGATATTAAATGCATCTCTGGCTATTGTTCGACGACTTACCAAAGAAGAAAAAATCTACATATCATATCAAAAAGCAGTTTCTGGTCTGGTCGTATCAATTTTGCAATAAAAGGAAATGAGGATCTTATGTGCATAACTGAGGGATAGCCTCGTAACGTCAAAATCGGTTACCTCCAAAATATCATGCAACTAAAGAGTGCGTACCATACCAATAAAAAGAAGTGTACAACAGATGAAGCTTTCTGAGATGATGATTACGACTATCTCTACGAAATAGTTTCTACAGGTATATACGTGAATTTTTGGAATAGTTTTGGCAGGGGTGAAACTTCGGATTTTTTTACTGATAATCACTTTATATTTTTAGCTACGTAATGGCATTTTATCATTTTTACTACCGATAGTCTTTATTGTACCAGTAAAAGCGAATATCAGATAAATTTCTCTAAAACAGCTCTTAAAGAGAACGTTGACTCTATTCGAAAAGGGTTAGACAGGTACTAGGTGTTATTGTTGGCTTATTGAAGGATAAAATTAGTGTTGATAATTCCCCCAGCCAGTAAGAAGGCTAGGATCAAAAATTTTACCAAAAAATAACTGGATAGATTTTCATTCACATGTACATGGTGATCAATTATGTTATTTTTATTTGTACCAATAAAGATTTTTTTTTGCCAACGTCGACATTAGGGCGGCCGCATATATGCGTTGGCCAATCAAAATTATGCGTGCGGTAATTTATTATATATGCCGAAATATACCCTTTATGGCTTTAAAATATGCCCGAAAAAATGCGAAAAAATGTAAAAAAAGTTAAAAAAAATGTGAAAAAAAAAAGAGAAAATTTTATTATATTTATTAATCCTTATTAAAATATAAAAAATTTAAAATGGAAATTGATTC